GAAACTCTGGAGGCCTGTCAGCAACAGTGTGGTAAAACAGGTACATTTCTGCTCATTGGACATTCTGGCATACCGAGTCTACATTCATACAAAGATTAATCAACTAGACTATTAAAAACTTGTTTTTGAGTTGAAGTTTGTAGGGACATATCCAGTGTGATAGTAATGAATCAGACATATCCTGCATGAGTCGTACCGTGACGCCTATAGAATGTTTCAACCGACTCACCAATAACCTTTACTTTTCAAAAAGGCATTAATACTTTGAAATATAATGATGCTCGTCCACAGGTTTTCTTCCTCATTTGTTCGTTGAGATAATCGTCTTGAACCGTTCGAATAAGCATAACGTATTTAGTTTGAACTATATACCGAATGATGCGGCTTTTCAAAACTTTTAGAATAAAGAATCGGCTACTGCATCGTAGGAGGAAATTACACTTTGAAAGCAGGTATATTTTACTTGTTCCTCGAGGTTGCATACTCGCCGCCAGATAGCTTTCCGCCGTGGTTTGTTTCCTACACAAAAAACTCACGGCCTATGCTCAACTAGTTCGTCTAAGAAGGCCAACCTAAGTTTGTTAATTTTCACATCTACTGAATTTAATCGCGCCGGAAAAAAAATATTCATTCGTTACGAGGTCCATCGGTATAACACTTACTAAGCATCGAAACTAACTCTACTGTACGCAGTTTCGCTATCGTTCTTTCTCATTCATTAGAAGAACCGTTTCCTTGCCATACAACAATACTGACCTTAAAGATGATAGTAAAAAAGGATTACTGTAGAAAGAGATACTCTTTCTTAGTCTAAATATTGGAGGTTTCTGAAAGTACTCGATTCCTTTACGGCTGTATTATTTTACTAAAGCTGAACAGTACCGTGGCTAAAGATTATCAGCCGAAATTATTAAATTTGCCAACCTCCTGAAGCATCTCATCTCCCTGTTTCAATTGTAGATCAGCCGTTCCCAGAAGCTGACGAATGTAGTCATTAGGCAATGCAGCATTTCCGAGCATAACAATTTCTTCGGTCACTCCTCTGGATTAATGACAGTGACGATAACTGATTAGCAACTTAACATAGCGATAGCTTCGTCCCTCTTATCGAGATGATGATCTACACGATTACTTTAAAGTCAAGTTCTACAACAGCTGTATTAAGTGATTAGTTTCACTTTTTATTAGCAGAAAGCTACAAGTGCAGTTTGGACCCCGACAGCGGACCTTGCAGAGCTCATATGTCTCGCTGGTTCTACAACCGTACCTCAAATGCGTGTGAAACATTTGTGTTCGGTGGCTGTGGTGGGAACGATAACAGATATACGGACGAGCAGTTCTGTTTGCACAACTGCGTGCAGAGTTCGCCGTGGCAAGAACAAAAAACAAACGGGTAAGCTGTTGATCTAATATGTCAATCATGATAGCAATCTATTACATTAATCTGTATAAAAAGGAGCTATAGTGTCCAGTTCTTTTGACAATGCATGAGGTGACCTCCGATTCTCAGTAGGTTTTCCTGACATA